TATCTTCTGTGTCTGTGTCAATTGGTTTCCCTTGTCTTTGTTGAAGAGGGTCTGTGCAGTCCTTCTGCCTAGTCCGCCATCTTGCCGGAACTCTCTCGAGTTTGGTTTTTTTGAGTTTATTCTTAAAGAAGACTCCAGAACATGTTATTGAGACAGTGATGGGAACTCAGTCCCTTGATTGAGCAGCCCACGCACAGGTGGGAAGGCTTCTGTTGGAGACAGACATCCGCCTCTGGCATTGGTCCACATGCGGGCTTCGGGGTCTTCCAGATCCAATGGGCTGCTTTGTAGGTGGGCATTCCTCCCAGGATGCTTAGCGGGCAGCTCTTGGGTTCCTCCCACACCGGCTCTTCTCTGGGCTGAGCCCTGTAGCTTTATGTCATGTTTCCCCTTGAATGTGGACTTTCAACACCATAGTCTGTCTCCTTTGACCCTGACTTTTTCCTAACTTGTCAAGACAGTATGTTCAGTGCTGATTTGAGTAGGAGCCTCCTTACTGCTCTCCTTTGGATGTTCAGCCTCTGGTAGTGCCACTCAGCTCCCATTAGCTTGGAAGGCACCCGCATTTCGCAACCCGACCTCTCTGCACCTCAGTTTTCACACCTGTCAGTTGGGAACAGTCACAATACCTACCTCACAGGGTTGGTGTGAAGATTAAATGAGTTTGACAGAGAGTCAGCATTCACTAACTCTTAGCGTTGTGTTGTTGTGGAAGTGGTGATAGTCTCTTACTTGTCGACTGTTCCCTTCTAGACTGTCCTCCCTAGCAGGGTCTCTTACTCTCTCCTACTCCCCAGGGCTCAGGCCACAGACTCGCTGCTCAGTCGCTGTTTGCTGAATGAAGACTGAGTGGAAAGACTTCCCCTCACAGAGCTCTCCCCTCAGCGTCCTGCCTGCTCATCTCACTTCCTCCTTGGAGCCCTTCCGGGTTGCTCTGGAGCACACTGTCCTTCCCCTTCCCTGATGACTCATGAGTGTTTTCACCACATGGGGCCATTCTGTGGTCCTCCTCACCTATGTGGGAGTGTTCTTCCCCTCCAGAGAGCAGGGCCCCATCTTCTTCTGCCCCTGTTTCCCCTGTGGCACGTTGCTGGGCACACAGTGGGAGGTCAGTAAGCCTCCAGGGTCCTGATGCTGCAGAGCGCCTGGGCCTTGGGGTCGTTAGGACCTGCTCTTTGGAACAGAGTGGTCTGCTCAGACAGGGCAGAATTGACGTGAATAGAAGGGCCAAGTGCTGGAGCTGGGTTTCTGCGGGGAAGGAGCCCTGGTGGCGCAGTCGTGAAGCACTTGGGTGCTAACCATAAAGTCAGTGGTTTGGTCCTACTAGCCATTCCGTGGGAGAAAGATGTGGCAATCTGCCCTGGAATCCCTGTGGGGCAGTTCTACTCTATTCTGTAGGGTCACTTTGAGTCGGAATGAACTCAGTGGCAGCGGGTTTTTGGTTTTGGGCTTTTCTGCAGAACATCTTAGCATGATACATTGGCTGCTCACAGTCACAGTTCACATGTGGTGTTCTCCAAGACCAAGACTGATGGCTGCCAGCATGTAGGGACCGTTTACCATGCACCAGGTACTTTACCTGCAGTGTCTCACTTACTCCTCACATACCGAGAGCTGAACCAGACGGACCCCCTGCTTCTCTGAGACCTTGGGTGATCTAGCTGGGCCTCGCTCCCCCACCTGTGAAACAGGTGGTAGAACCTACCTCAGAAGCACGGAGTCAAGGATTGTGAGACATTGGCAGCCATCACCACCACTTCCATTATCTGGTGTTCAGATGATGAAATGGAGGTTCAGAGTGGAGGGGTGACTGGTCCGAGGTCACCCAGCTCTGAGGGGCAGAGCCAGCCCTCTAGCCACACTGCTCTGTGCTCGTAACCACCTCATGGGAGCGTGGTATCTGCAGAGACCTTATCTTTGACTCTGTGGCATTGGAGGGAGATGGGGGCGTTAGGGAGGGGCTGGGTCCGTTAGGCGTGTGTCTGGGTCAGATGATACGGACACTTATCTCTGCTGGCACGGTCCTGGACGAGAGGCTGGCAGGCTGGCAGTTGGGTGATTTGCCCTGGAAATCTTCCCTGCTGTCTGGAGGCTGAGTGAATCCCTTCTTCTTGGGTCCTCTCAACCCACTTGCTCTGTGGGTCAAATCCTTTGATTAAGACTGGCCTAAACTAACCTTTATAAATGGAGCTCTGGTGGCATAGTGGGTAAGGCATTTGGCTGCTAATCAGAAGGTCAGCAGTTCAAACCCACCAGCTGCTCCTGGAGGAAGATGAGGCAATCTACTCCTGTGAAGACTTACAGCCTTGGAAATCCAATGGTATCGCTATGAGTCATAATCGATTTGATGGCACTGAGTTTTTGGTTTGGAGCTCTGGTAGCATAGTGGCTAAAGCACTTGACTGCTAACCAGAAGGCTGGCGGTTCAAACCCACCAGCCACTCCTCGGAAGGAAGGTTGGGCAATCCTACTTCCGTAGTGATACTGCCTTGGAAACCCAAGGAGGGGTCGCTATGAGTCGGGGGCGACTCGACGGCAAATAACAACAACAACAACCACCTTTATAATATCCTAGCCTGTGCCTGTGGTGAGGGTGGAGGTAGAGTTACAGGTGGTGGGGGAGTGGTGACCACTTGACACTCCCCCTCCTAGATCCCTGTGAAGTGGAGTGTTTTTTTTTTTTTTTTTTAAATGCCCAATTTACAGATGAGAAAACTGAGGCTGGGGTTGCTTCTCTGATTGACTTTTGCTTTCTCATTTACATTGCTCCAGCCACACGACCTCCTAGCAGCTCCTGCTATACATTACATGACCCCCGCCCCCCTTTGCATTTGCTATTCCCTCCACAGATTTTTGCGTTATTCAGGTCTCTGCTCAAATGCCACCTTCTCAGAGAGGCCTTCCCTGACCTCTTTTTGAAATAACTCCTCCCTTCTCAAGGCCTCCTACCTCCTCAGTCTGATTCATTTGTCTTCATAGCATTTGTCACCATCTGACTTGGTATTTGAACCCCGGTGGCTCAGTGGTTCAGCTTGTGGCTGCTAACCGAAAGGCTGGTGGTTCCAATGCACCAGACACTCTGCAGGAGAAAGAGGTAGCAGTCTGTTTCTGAACAGATCGACAACCTTAGAAACCCTGTGGGGCAGTTCTGCTCTGTCCTGTATGGTTGCTGTGAATCAGAACCAACTTGATGGCAGTGGGTTTGGTTTAGTTTTGGTTTGGGTTTGACCTGGTATTAAATCGTTGTTGTTGTTATGTGCTGTCGAGTTGGACCCGACACGTAGCGACCCCTCCTTGGGTTGCCGAGGCAGTATCATTATGGAAGTAGATTGCCCAACCTGCCTTCCGAGGTTAGCAGTCAAGTGCCTTAGGCACTATGCTACCAGAGCTCCTTGGTATTATATACTGGACTTTATTTTGTCTCATCCCCTTCCCTGAATGTAATATTCATGAGGTGAAGAATTTTTGTCTGTCTTGTTCACAGTCCCTAGAGCCTGAAACAGTCCTGTGTGGAGGAGGTGTTCAGCAGACATTTGTTGAATGAATGAATGAATGAGCAGTGTTTTCCAGTGCCAGGCTACACAGCTTGTGTGTAGCAGAGCTGTGACTTGGCTCCAGGCTGGGTGACCTGGTGACCGTGTTTGGTTCCTACTGGGCTGACTTCTCTCATTCCTGCCCCCACACCAGGAGCTGGCCAAGAGGACCCCCGGCAAGCACCCAGACCACCCTGCGGTCCAGAGTGCCCTGCAGGCCATGAAGACTGTGTGCTCCAACATCAATGAGACCAAACGGCAGATGGAGAAGCTGGAGGCCCTGGAGCAGCTGCAGTCCCACATCGAGGGCTGGGAGGTGTGTACGTGCGGAGCAGTGGTGGGGAGTGTTGCCTCCCAGGGGCCCCAAAGGAACGTGGCTGTGGATACAAGGCTAGCAGCCTGCAGCATACATTGTTTGGCCTACACAGTGTTTATAAGGAAATACTTTCAAGTCAGTTTCTAATTAAGTCTGTGTAGAAATTCTAATTTTAAGCTTCTAAAGAAAATTGGTAACACTGGGCCCTCATTTTCACAGCAGCAATTGCTGGCGCTCCTAGTTCTCCTCAGTCCCCACTACTTCCTATTGTCTTCCCACTTAGGCTCCGTCACATGATGCCTTACCTGCCTGGTACACACAGGCCTGTGAGCTTTTGTCCCCAAGATTAAAGGTAGTGGTTACGTGCCCATGCCAGGAGTTGAATGCCTTGTGGGGTAACTTTGGACAAAAGCTTTAACTTCTCTAAACTTCACTTCCCTCTTGTATGCCTGGTATGTAGTATGTGCTCAGTAAATGGTGAGTATCATCGTTGTCAGGGGAGGGATGAGAAGCTTGAACTCTTCTCTCTCTTACAGACGTAACTTATTTGTTTGAACCCCACCTCTTCCTCAGATTTTGAAAGGTTTCCTATGAACCGGTAGAATGAGGTAGAAAAATCTGAATAAATGAAAAGTAAATATTGCAGTAGATACAGCTGGAATGGGAGGGAGATGAAGAACAATGAGGAGAGACCCTGAGTCATCGGCCTCACAACCCTTTGGATTTTCTGGGCCTTCAAGACACTTGCTATGTTTGGGATTTCTACTTTTGTCCTGTCTCTCTGGAAATCTGAACTGTGACTCAGTGTCACAGCCAGGTTGACGGTTAATCTGCGGAGAGAAGGGTGGTCTGTATTCAGGGAGGAGGTAGACATTGTTTATTGGTGGTTGGCATGTGTCCTGGCCTCCTTCCACTGGGCCTTCCTGCCCTGCCCAGGGGAGAGCCAAGAGCTGTGTTCCCCGGACACCCTTGTATTTTACAGCCCACACTTAGGGTCTGAATTGGAGTTTGGCCAAATTGTGATGCAGTTGCTTGCAGTTTGTAAGGTGGGAGTAGGGTGGAGGCTCCCTCTCTGCGGTTTGTGCAGCAAAGCCCAGCTGTGGCCACTCCTGGCTTTCTGTGGTAGCGTTAGCAGAGGTCATGCCAGGTTCTACTCTCCTGGATGTGGAGCAACAGGGAGGGCAGGGTAGGGGGTTTCTTTTTTTTTGTTTTGCTGATGTGTGTCTGGCAGGCATAGGCCTGGATCCGGCCTGGGTGTGCTTTCCGGGAGTACTGGCTCTGACAGGTGACAGTTTGATTCTCCTTTTCTCAATGTGGCAGAGGTGGTGGCTCACCTGGTGGGCCAGCTGTGCAGTGAGTCAGTTTTCTGGGAGCCCCAGGCTGGAGTCCTGGCTCCTCTAGCCCCTTCAGTGGTCGAATAAGCCCCTCAGTCTCTTCTGCTTAAAGTATGTAGCTTGCTTTCTGTTTCCTGCAGCTGAAAGTTGCATGAAACGCAGCTATGCTCATTAGGATGTGTTCTCTGAGGACTGTCATCCCAGCCTCATGAGGGTCTTTGTGTGATCTTTTTGGCCTTCCCTGCCTGACTCCAAGATGACAGCAACTCCAGGCATTGTGTGTTTAAAAGCAGGAGGCAGGTGGACTGCAGCAGTGAGAGGGCACTGTCCTCACATAGAGGAATATCTTTCCCGAAGCCCCAGGGAGACTTCCCCTTCTGTGTCATGAGCCAGAACTGGGTCACTTTCGGCAAACGTGCCAACCTTGAGAGGAAATGGAGTTGACTCATTTAAGCATCTGTCTGTTTAGGCTCTGAGCTTCCTGGCAGCCAAGGTGAAGAGAGCAATACACATACATTGCCTAGCATTCATTGTCCAAAAGGAGGAAGTAGAGCAGTTCTTCTGGCAGACAGAGCATTTCCTGACACTCAGCTGGAAAAGAAGTTTCTCAATGTGAGCTCCTGGGGGAGGGTGTTGAGCAAACTCCTTGGCAAACCCAGCAGAAGTGATTTCTTGATGGCTCCTGTTAAGGGCTTAAGAAGTGAACTAAGGGTCTTTCAGGCCCTTTTAGACCCTGAACATCTGTAGTTTGAGAACTCCACGATCCTTATTTTGGTCATCGTTTCTGAGTGGAGTGGGAAATGAAGCATCCTGGAGTACGGACAGCTACAGTGATTGAGCCCCTATTACATACTATTACCTACTTCCAAAGCCAAACCTGACCCACTGCTGTCAAGTCAATTCTGTCTCACAGCAACCCTGATTGGGTCTCCAAGGCTGAAAATCTTTCCAGAAGCAGACTGCCCCATCTTTCTTCCATGAGCATCTGGTGGGTTTGAACCACCAACCTTTTGATTAGCAGCCAGATGCCTTAACCATCACACCACTTCCAATACAAGGAAGTATTATCACCTCCATTTTACAGCTTAGGACACTGAGGCCCGGGATTTGGTTTGCCTCAGGCAAGTCTGTCCTGCTCTCTTGACCTCATTTCCCCCTGTTGATCTAATCACATATGTGAGTTTCTCTCCTGGTGTTATTTTGAGGAGAAGCAAGTTGTGGAATACCAATGTTTATGGAAGATGGCTTTCCATGCAGTAGAAAGGTTTGTAAATACAGTTTGATCCTCAAGGTGACTTGAGAAGATCATATGTTCTAGCTAGAAAAAGAGAATGTTTAAAAGTGAAGCTAATTATAGTGGCTCCATGCTCTCAGTAGTTAGAACCTCAGGAAGCAGACAGTATGGCTTAGGGTGTAGTTTACAGCGAATGGTGGTGGTTGCAAATCCCTATTGCACAACCCTTCTTGAAGATGCTGAAGGATTTTCTTTGACCTCTTGCCCGATCTGATTGGCTGGTTGTCTTCTCTGCCTTGGAATGTGGCTGACAAGGGGCTTATACTCAGGCAACAGGCATCTTCTCTGGGCTACGTCCTTGCTGTTTGCTTGGGCTTTTGATCAGTTTGATCTCTGATCCATGGTTTCTTTGGAAGATCCTATGTAAGTCACTTGCCCCTCCCCCTTTTTTTTGCCATGAGGACTGGTACAGTTCAAACCAGATAAATTAATCCACAGATCCTATTCACTAGCACAAGGAAATGGCAACATGCCACAATACCTTGGAAGGGAGCGAACAAGTCAGCCCCCTGTACGGAGTTTCCCCATCTGAAAAGTCTGGATAATGGCAGTCCCCACTTTGTGGGGTTGGGGTTGACGTACACGGAGCACTCAGAACAGTGCCTGGCTCAGAGCAGATGCACAGTCAGCATCCGGAGGAGCTCTGAGTTGGTAGGATTACTTTCTCATTTTTTTTCAGATGGAAGAATCCCCATGTAGCTTTGGTGAGAGCTCATCTCCAGTGTGGCCTGACTCTCCTGCAGAGGGACATCACAGATCCAAGCCCCATGGGCTTCTGTGTGAAGTTTGCAGGAATAAAAAGAAAAGGGATGTTCTTAACCAGAAAGAAACAGCACGTTACTCTTGCTGGCTCTAGGTGGCCTGATTCAAGAGACGATCAACTGCTCACAGACACGTGGAAAGAAAGAAACAGGAGAGCACAAACATGAAATCATTGAAAAGGACCCGAAAGAGAAGTTTTCATATTCCTTCCACGTTCCCTGGGATCCATCTCCTTGTGCTCCCTGAGGAATGTGGGCTCTCCCCTTTGGAAGACCCTTGCTTTAGACTGACAATTGTATAGAACACTGTTCAGGCTGTCTCCTGAGAGGCAGCCAGGACAGAGGTTAGTGGTTAGGGGAGCAGGTTCTAATCCCAGCTTGCTAGCTGACTAGCTGCGTGACTCTGGGCAAGGCCCTTTACTGCTCTTTGCCTCAGTTTGCTCATCTGTGAAATGAGGGCTTGAAGGAGTTTGTACAAGATCCTTAGAATAGTACTCAGCATGTATTAAACCCATTGCATGCAACTTTTGTCATCTTCCCTAAATACTAGTTACTTCGGCTTTAGCGAGCCTATGTTATCTGGAATGGGGTCTTGGCAGACATCTTCCCTGTGTATCTGATTCTTACAATCACCCTCGACTTGGTTTAGAAGAATCTAATCTTAGATTAGAAGAATCTTGAGCCTGAGGGGCTGGCTAGGCTTCTCAGCAGGGCTGGGTGGACAGAGGCATTGCCCTGTACTGGGCTTGGCATTTCAGACACAGTTTGCTGGGTCGTTATTGGCTGAGGCCAGAGAGGCATCATCCTAGGTTGAACCTGCTTCCTCTCTGCCCCACAGTCCCCTAAGACCTTTGTGACTTCGGGGCCCTTGGGACCTTGGGGCCCAGGGGGCTGTAATTGGTCAGGCACCAGTTCAGACACGTTTTGTTGTTAGTTATGTCGACTTGGCTCTGACTCACGGTGACCCTGTGTACAACAGACGGAACACTGCTTGGTCCCAGCCCGTCCTCATGGTGGTTGGTGTGCCTGAGTCCATTGTTTTGGTCACTGTGTATTTTGAGTGCCTTCTAACCTAGGGGGCTCCTCTATTAGACAGTGTTCTCTTGGGACCCAAAGGATTTTCATTGGCTAATTTTTGACATTAGAGCACCAGGCCTTTCTTCCTCATCTGCCTTAGTCTGGAAGCTCTGATGAAATCTGTCCACCAGGGGACCCTGCTGGTATTTGAAGTATACAACATACCTTGTGGCGACATGCAAGCCACCACAGTATCACAGACTGATGGAGAAGCTGCTAAACCCCCTTTAGAGTCCGGAAGGGCTGGTGGGTGGAGTGAATGAGGCGGGAGGAGGCTGTGGCCTGCAGGAGGGCTCATCTTGGACTGCTCTTCAGCCTGAGGCACATGCCTCATCGGCCCTGTTTGCGAGGACACTGGGAGTCCAGGTTATCACGGAAGCCTGAGCTCACCCTGGGCAGCAGCCTGGGGACTCTGTTAGCCAAACCTCTTGATTTTCTACATGTTCTGATATACTTTGGGTGCCACATGGCCACCCAGCTGCTTGGCTTGTTACCTAGCTGGGCCGCTGTGCTGTGGGACTCAGAGATGTGCCTGTGGCGTGCACGTGTGCGTGCCCGTGTGGGCCCCTGGCCAAGCTGGGCACAGGGATTGCTGTTAATGGCTCCAGCCCTGGGCTGCACAGCTGTTGGCCATCAGGAGGCTGGTTTCCTAGGACCCTGAGTGAACCCTGGAGGGCACTGTTGGGATGAATGGTGTGCTGTGCCCAGCTGGGCTGTGAGCATGGAACAGACCAGCGCCAGTGGCAGCGAGAAAGGTCTCGACGGACGGGAAGCAGACAGTCTGATTTCCTCATTAGTTCCCTTTTTGCATCTCAGCAAAAACAGAGTCAGCAAAGCTCACTGGTGTATATGAACTTTGTGTGTGTATGTTTTCCCGAAAGTGAGAACAGATTCATTATTTTTTTTTAGTTACTGGTAACTTACCAATCATTCTAATGCCATTACATTTTATACCCTTGAAAATTTTCTCTATGCATGTGTACAAATACCAATTTTAGAAAATTCTTGAAAGACAGGGAGCATCTATACCTACAGTTTCCCAGCCCAGGGTGTATTTTTCACGTCAGTACATGCAGATTTCCGTCACCATTTTCAGTGGTTGTACTGTTCGTTTTTGAAGCAGTTACTATAGTCACTTGGAGTGCTCTCTGTTGTGAACCCTGCTGTGATGAATGCCCTCACTCATGGGGTATGAGCATCTTACTGCTTCTGGATCTTGAGTGTTTGGGGAAGGAGATTCTTGCAAACAGTTCTCCCTCTCATTTTCTTGAGTTCATTTCTAAGTGCACACCGTGCCTGTACCCCTCCTTCACTGTAATCTTCAGGCTGCCAAATGACCCTCCCCGAAAACACCGTTTTCCCTGGGCCAAAATGGAAATGCCTGCCATTGATGGCCTCCATCCTTACCTTGATGTGTTAGTTAAAGTATGTATTTGACTGCTGCAAGGAAGAGATCCTACATGAGATGAGGAGTCCCTGGTGGTGCAAAGGGTTAATGCACTTAGCTGCTAACCAGTCGTTGGAGGTTCAAGTCTACCCAGAGAGGCACGTCGGAAGAAAGGCCTGGCTGTCTGCTTCTGGGAAAGATCAGCCACTGCAAACCCTAAGAAGCACAGTTCTACTCTGACATACTTGGGGTCGCCATGAGTCGAAATCAACTCTCTGGCAGCTGGCGGCATGAGATGAAAGTCTATTTGTCAGTAGCAGTGCAGAGGTGGGCAGTGCGGGCCATGGGTGGGGGAGGCTGTGCTCCATCAGCACCCAGCTTCTTCCCCTCTCCTCCTCCACCATCTGTGAGGATGTAGCCCACCACCCCGTGGCTGTCTTCCAATCAGCCTGTAAAGAGAAGGAAAGAGGAAGACGAGGGGAAGCAATTTGCTTTCAAGGAAGTAGATGTGGAAGTGGGCCAGCAGGTGATAATTTAGTCATGTGACCTCACCTGATCCAAGGGAGGCTGGGAAGTGTAGTCTGAATGGGCAGTCAAGGGCCAGGTGGAACTTCTCCTGCAGAGGAAGAGGATTGGTGGACAGCTGGGGGGCTGTCTCAGCTCTTTCCAACCTCTTCTCTCTTGGCATTTTGGGTCTCCCTGGCTCTGCCTGGTCCTCTCAGAGCTCTAGCCAGTTCCCTGTGGTCCCCGGCCCCTGAAGATCCCCTTCCAGCTGGGACCTTCCCTAATCCTGATCTTCAGCCTTTTATATTTTTTTTCCCCAAATTAAAAAATAATTTTGACCTTGATTACATTACTTCTGATGTGCAGGCAGCACCTGTATCTGTTGCCAGATTTCCCCTCCCCTTTAGCAGAAGCTCAGTGCCCCCTAAGCAATGACTCCCTCTTCTCTTCCCTCTCACCCCTAGTGACCATGAGTAAACTGTGGTCTCTGTACCTTCACTTAGTTTAGAAATGTCATGTAACTGGGATCATACAGTATCTGTCCTTTTGTGACTGACTGACTTTGCTCAGATAACATTTTCACAGTTTATCTGTGTTGTAGCATGTCCCACAACGTCATTTCTCCTTACGGCTCTTCGGCCTCTTTATCTTGTTGTTCGGTGCCGCTGAGTTGGGTCTGACTCATAGCGACCCTGTGTACAACAGAACCAAACACTTCATGGTCCTGTGCTAGCCTCACAGTCCTTGCTATATCGGAGTCCATCGTTGGAGCCACTGTGTCAATCCATATCTCATTGAGGGCCTTCCCCTTTCTCACTGACCCTCCACCTTACCAAGCATGAAATCCTTCTCCAGGGAGTGGTCCCTTCTGACAACATGACCAAAGTAGGTGAAACGAAGTCTGGCCAGTCTCACTTCCAAGGAGCATTCTGGCTGCACTTCCTCCAGGACAGATATGTTCCTTCTTCTGTCAGAGTCCACGGTACTGTCAGTATTCTTCACCAACACAACTCAGAAGCATCAACTCTTCTTTGCTCTTACTTATTCATTGTGCAGCTTTCACATGCATATGAGGTGATTGAAAATACCATGGCTTGGGTTAGGTGCACCTTAGTTCGAAGAGACATCTTTGCTCTTCAGCACTTTAAAGAGATCTTTTGCAGCAGATTTGCCCAGTGCAACATGACGTCTGATGTCTTGACTGCTGCTTCTATTGGTGTTGATTGTGGAACCAAGTAATATGAAATCTTTGACAACTTCAGTCTTTTCTCCATTTATCATGATGCTACTTATTGGTCCAGTTGTGAGGTTTTTCATTTTCTTTAGGTTGAAGTGTGATCCGTACTGAAGGCTGTAGTCTTTAATCTTCATCAGTAAATGCTCCAAGTCATCTTCACTTTCACCAAGCCTGATTGTGTCATCTGCATACTGCAGGTTGTTGATGAGTCTTCCTCCAATCCTGATGCTGTGTTCTTCTTCATATAGTCCAGCTTCTCAGAGTATTTGCTCAGCATACAGATTGAACAAGTGTGGTGAAAGGATGCAACCCTGATGCATTCCCTTCCTGATCTTTATCTTGGCATCTTCTGAGGTCCACCCTACTCCTCCCTGTTGCCTTCTCTGACCACAGCGCCCTGAACCTCAGTACATTACATCATGCACATTTGGTATCGTAGCCACCACCCCCTGCCTGCCTGGCCTCTTAGCCTCATTGTGTGGGTGAGGTTAGGGAACTGTGCCATCTCACTCCCATCCATAGTTAGATATAGCTTCTGAGTCCTTGCCCAATGAGTACTTGTGTTGCATCACTCACCCACTCAATAAGCATTTATTGAGCACCTACTGTGTGCCAGTGAGTGTTGCAGATTCTGGGAATACAGTGGCAAGTGCTTGATAAAAGATCTGTCCTTAGGGAAGTGGCATTCTTGTGCAGGAGATACAAAGACAAACCAAACTAAAAAACCAAACCAAAATCACTGCCAACGAGTTGGTTTCAACTCATAGTGACCCCTCCTTGGGCTTCCAAGGCAGTATCACTACGGAAGTTTGCCAAACAAAGACAAACCAAGATACAAGTAAATAAGAGGGAAGGGATAGGTAAAACAAGCCAACCCAAAACCAGAACAAAGACCAGATGTTCACCAGGGCCTGCTGGTAGCTTTGAGAGCTGGGCAAGTCAATTTACCTGCCTGAACCCCAAGTTCCTTCCATCACAAAATGGCCACATTCCTGGCATATTCACCAGTTGGAAGCCATTGGTCAAATTGTATTGGTTTTCTGTTGGCTGACAGATTTGCCCACAGAGGTGCATTTAGATTTTCGAGGGTGAAGGGGGGATGCCTCTGGGGAAGGAAGGTGCATTCCTGGGTTTACCAGCTCTCCTCCTGTGCCCCTTCTCACCCCCTCAGGGCTCTAACCTCACGGACATCTGCACCCAGCTCCTCCTGCAAGGGACTTTGCTGAAAATCTCTGCGGGCAACATCCAGGAGAGAGCCTTCTTCCTGTTTGACAACCTCCTGGTCTACTGTAAGCGGAAATCCAGGTGAGTTGCTGGGATCCCGGGGGTGGGGCTGCCCAGATGGACCAGGAGGCTGGGATCGGGGCTCCCCTTGCCACTTTCTTTCATTGTCACCTGGGGCTTGTCACTTCCCCCTCTGGGCCTCTCTTTTCTCTTCTGTAAGTTGAGGGGTTTGTTCTGGATCAGTGCTGTTCAGCGGAAGTACAATACGAGCCACATACAGCATTTTAAATGTTCTAGCAGCTGCATTAAAACATGTGAAAAGAAGCAGGTGAAATGACTTTAAATAATATGTTTTATTTAACCCGATATAGCCAAAATAACCCAATAAGCCCCAAAGTATTATCATTTCAACATGGAGTCAATTAGAAAAATATGAGATATTTTACATTTTTTTTAAATTGTACTAAGTCTTTAAAATCTGCTAAGATTTTATACTTAAGGCACATATCAATTTGGACTAGCCACATTTCGAGTGCTCGGTAGCCACATGTGGCGCGTGGCTACTGTGTAAGTCTAGATGCTCATGGAAGGTTTGAGGTTCTTAGTGATATCAACATCCTGTGATTCAAGGATCCGAGGGTAGGGAGCTTGGGGGCTCTTCTAGCCATGAAACTTTTTTGAGGGAGAGTATTTTCTCCTCTTTGTGTCTTACACTACACCTTCTTGCACTCTGTAGAGTCTTAAGAACTGTTTACTTGGTGAATGGATAGGTAGAAGATTAGTGCAGATATGTGTGTGTGATTGGAAGTGCGAATGGTGGGATGGGTGGGTAAATGGGAGGAGGATGGATAAAAGGTTGGGAGTTTGGGAGATGAATGGATGGTAGATGAAGGGAGGGAAGGAAAGAGAGAGAGGTGGATGGATGAGTAAGTGGTTGAGTGGTTGGCAGTTTGGAAGATGACCAGGTGGAAGGATGAATGGAAAGTTGGGGGAATGTATGGATGTTTGGGTAGTTGGAGGAATGAAGGCCTGGTGAATTGGCAGGGCGTGTTTGGATGGATAGTGGACTGGAGGCTTTCATGTTTGGTTTGTTGAGAGAATGAGAACATGGATGGCTGGTTGCATGGTCATATAACTGGGAGCATAGGTAGGTGAAGAAGTTTAGGAGTTGGCGGAGAGATGGCTCATTAGATGGGTGTGTTGATGGATGGATGGTTGGTTGGTTGATAGTTGTCGAGGTGCTGAAACTTAGGTGTGCAAGTTTGGGTCATTGGATGTAGGAGTGGATGGGTAGATGAATGGTTGGATAGAGGGAAAGTTAGGAAATGGAGCGGTGAGTAGATGGTTGGAGGATTAGGGGCACGAATCAGTGGTTGGGTGGGTGGGTGGTGAGTGAGTGGGTAGATCTGTGGACGGACAGATTCTTGCCTTTCAGTTTTCTTACTCAACAGGTTGGTCTCAATTGACCCAAATAGCTCTTCTTGAGTTCTCCTTCCTGTTACTTTGTCTTAGGGGTGAAATGGTGACTTTCCAGGGCCGCCTTTACTCCTTTATCTAGCAAAAGCTAGAGCCAAAGGCTGAGGTCCAACCTCTGCTTCCAGCATTGCTCCTGAATTGCTTTTGTGGCCTGGCCATGCCCCTGAGCCTTGTTTTCCTTGTCTGTTTTTCCTGGCCTCCTAAGGTTGTGGTGAGGATACCCAGGATGAAGGGTGGATGTTCCATGCTCATGTGTTGGGCTCCCATTCTTTCCCTCCTTCAGCCGGGTCCCTCTGAGCCTCGTTTTCTCATCCGTAAAATTAGGAAGATCAAATCCTTTTTACAGCCGTGTTTTGTTATGATCTGGGTCCTTTTGATTGAATCCCTGTTCAGCCACTTGCATAGCTCTGTGACTTTGCCTCTGTGACTCAGGATCCTCATCAGTGAAATAGGACTAACTATCATGTCTACCTCATAGGGCTACTGTGAAGATTCAACATGTAACACATTTAAATAAGTTACATATTTAATGCATAATAAGTGCACAAAGGAAGGGTAGCTGCTGTTACTCTTGTTGCCTTACTTATATGCATCTGATCCTTACTCAGTGCAGTGGCATGGGAACAGCCCCTGGCACGTAGTGGGTGGTTTACGCACAGGCCCTTCCTCTTTGCCCTTCCTTCTTATTCTGGGGCTTCCTTCTTGTTAAAGGGCCTGGTCTCCCTCTTTTGCCACTTTGCATCTGGCTCAGCTTCTTATTCCCCATTTGATGCTTCATTCCACCCTCTCCTGTCTGCCTGTGTCTGTCTCATGTCCTCCTGTCCCCCCGTCAACGCCTTCTTCTTCCTCCTTGCTTCCTCCCTGTTCTCTCTGGGACCATCCTGAGAATCCCTCTCTGGTGGTTCTGAGCCTGCTGCCAGCATCCACCCCCGGCTCTTCCCTGCTGCCCCGCCCTGGGCTGTCAGAGGGAGGCACTTTTCCCAGAACACTGGAGTTGGGAAAACAGAATGTCCCTTCAGGCCTCTGTGACTGCTGCCAACTTCTGGCCGAGTTTGCTCAGCCTTTGGCTTACCCTGTTGGGGCAGATCTACCTATCAAGGTGGAGTAGGCGGATCCCCTGTGGGCCTTTTAGGGCCTTCCCTGTGGCAGCCACGGCTCCTTTAAGGTCACCCCCTGCCCCTGTTTTGGAACGAGCCAGGCTGATGGGAAGAGAAGAGCGTATCTGTCTCTGGAGAGACCCTGGCAGGCCGCTGGCATTCCTGCCTCTGGACAGGGAGCCAGAGGGCTGGGCTCCAGGAGGTCTAGGGACTGGGCAATGATGGATGGAACTCCAGGCTTGACTCTGATGTGGCCACAGGAAATGCCCTAAGCTGCTAGGTGTCTGCTGACTGTGCTTTTGTCTCTGCCTAGTTCCCTCAGGGCCCTGTCCAGGACGTAGGTCAGAGGAGGTCTCTGACTCAGAGTGTTTCTGGTTTAGTTCAGAATGTCACAAGTTGAGAGGATTTTAGTGCCTAAGGCATTTGACTACCAACCAGAAGGCTGGTGGTTCAAACCCACCAGCCACTCCTTGGGAGGAAGATTGGGCAACCTACTTCTGTAGAGATACCGCCTTGGAAACCCAAGAAGGGGTCGCTGTGAATCAAATTGACTTGATGGCATTGAGTTTAGTCTCCTGTTATACAGAAGGGGAAACTGAGGCCAGAGAGTACAGTCTGGTATATCTATGGCCTACTGACCATCTTAGAAGCTGTGTGACCTTGATCTCTATGTGACTCTGTTTTCTTATCTGTCAAATGGGGGTAAAAGTAGGCCCCATCTCACAGGAGTGTTTTTATAGGTTAAACCAAACCCGCTGCCCTCAAGTCAATTCCAATTCAGAGTGACCCTGTAGGACAGAGTCAAACTGCCCCCATAGGATTTCTGAGGCTGTAAGCTTTATGGAAGCAGACTGCCACGTCTTTCTGCTGCAGAGTGGCTGGTGGGGTCGAACCCTTGACCTTTCGGTTTGCAGATGAGCACTTTAACCACTGTGCCACCAGGGCTCCTTTTTTTAAAGATTAAGAGAATACATATAAAGTGCTTTCAGATTATGCGGTATATAGTATGTGAAATGGAAGAATTATAGGTAGGTGTTTTCACTTGGGTGTTTCTCACAGCCACACTCAAATTATTCCTGAAACAGGTCTCATCACAACTCCTGCTCCAGACCTTTTTCTCTCCTAGTTTTCTCCATTTTCAGTAAATAATCACCATTTACCCAGGAGCTCAGACCAAAATTGCGGTCATCCTTGTTTCTGACTTGCCTTCACCCCCATATTCCCTTCATCAGCAAATCTCTTCCATTCTCTTGTCAGAAGCTCAATGCAGTTCTAATTGAAAGTCCAGGGGTTGTGTGTGTGTGTGTGTATGTGTGTGTGTGTGAGAGAGAGGCGGGGGGAGAGAAAGAAAGAGAGAGAGGGAGAGAGACAAAGAGATAGAGACTGAGATAAGCGGATTGTAGAATTTATATGGAAATGCAGAGAGACAGAAATCACTAAGATAATTAAGAAGTACAGAGGACTTTTATTATTAGATACCAAGGCTTACTGTTAAGCCACAGTAAGGCAGTATGGTATTGGTGTAAGAGCAAGCAGATTGATTAATGGCATAAAATGGAGGTAGGCCTACTCACATATAAGCAATCATTTGAATTTCAGCAAAGGCACAATGCAGCTCAAGAAACAGTACTTGGCCATTTCAGCATCTAAAGGAAAAAATGAGTCTTGTTACCTACTGTGAGGTAGGTACCGTACACAAAAATCAACCTCAGATGGACTGTAGGGTTTAAATGTGAGAGATAAAGCAGTAAAGCTTCTAGAAGAAAACATAGGAGAGTATTTTTATGTTCTTAGAGTCAGCAAAAATTTCTTAAATAGGATCAACCAAAAAACCAAACTCACTGCCGATGCCTCCTTGGGTTTCTGAGGCAGTATTTCTACTGAAATAGATTGTCCAGTCTTCCTTTGGAGGAGTGGCTTGTGGGTTTTGAACCACCAGCCTTCTGGTTAGCAGTCAAATGCCTTCGGAACTATGCCACCAGAGCTCCCTTAAATAGGATAAAAAATATAATTATAAAGGAAAAATAGATAAATTGGAATGTGTTAAAATTAAGAATTGTGTTCATCAAAAATATTGCAAAGAGAGTAAAATCGGAATCACAGACAGGAAGATCATTGCAATATACAGCCGACAGCAGGTTCATCCCAAATATATGAAGAAGTCCTAAACCAAATTCAGTCCACTGCCTGTTTGTGTATGTAACGTTACATTGGAATA